AGATTTTTTTGATAAATTTATCCTTATATTATTGTTACCTATTTCGTAATTCTGCAATACTTCTTCAATTTGACATTTTGCTAAATGATAAAACTTGTTTCAAAAGATTCCATTAGATCAAAGAATACTTTTGGCGCTTCTAACTACAAATACAATGACAAAAATAGCAGATGTGAAAGCTTTTCAATATCTATTTAAGATGGCAACAGTGAAACTGTAACAGAGACTAGATAGTTTTCACCTTTTGCATTTGTATTCCAGTTTTTGATTTAAATAGTATATAAGAGATATGATCTTTGCAAACATTTTCATAAAAGGTGTCTATGTATATATATACTTATTATTCATACTATATGGTATGGGATAAAGTTCCAATCCCATCCCATCCCAAATCCCATCTTTTAAACTTAAACTTTAACAAACAATATTATCATAATTAATGATTATAAGTTAATAATGTTTAATTCATAGCTTCATCTTTATGAGCAGTTTCAAAGATTATTACTTTATTCTTTTAAGTGAGATATACTTAAAAATATATTATAATTTAATGGAATTTGGGATTGGGATATGGGATATGGGATTTTAAATATAGTATGTGATTTGGGATGGGATGGGATTCTATAGTATGAGGTATGGGTAGCAACTATATGTATATAGGTATAATAATATCCTCTTTGATTTCGTTTACATGAAAATGCAACACCACGGATCAAAGCATCTCGAAGATCTTTCCTGTTTGGTGTATAATTAATGCGGATAAAGTGTGTAAACTTGATGTAAGCTTCACCAAATTCGGTTCCTATAAACAATACCTGCTCCTGAAGGCAATTCTCTATTTTTTTTTGTAAACGTTATCTGCTAGAAGAGATCTCAAAAATTTATTTAAAGTCATGGGAAACGAATAACAATTGCCATCGTCTCTGATAAATTGACCTTCGTTTCTTTTGCAAGCGTCATCCTAAGCCTTAAGAAGCAATAGTCTCGCAACCATCTCTCCGCGGTAATCGGCTTTTACGACACCTTGCTGATGCGAGTCGATTAGTAAGTTCTGTTAGGCTAACTTCTGAATCGTTCATGATCCGAGCAACTGCCTCCGCTAGCACAGGTTCGGTAGGCATCGATGTAATATTACTTTTACGATTCTCCGAGACATCAAGACAAAGACGCATGTGGCTTGTCATCAGCAGAGATGCATATTCGGATTGTGGTACTATGTCAATACATAAGCGAGTTCCAAGAATGGCCAAAGCTTCCGTAATGTTTATTTTTTGAGCATTTATTTTCCAGTGACTGAAAGACATCCCCCCGATAAGTTTGTCCATGGCCAGCGCAATAATACGACGTGGTGTAAATTCCGAAGATTGAGACAATAGAAGTGCACCCCACAAGGGCCTTCCATACCAACATATGTTGCGGATTTTTAGACTCTTCCAATGTCGGTAATTCTTTAGAATCCGTGTAAATGTCTATAGTGTCCAGCAGATAAAAAGGCTCGTACAATCGCGAACCCGTGCCCGCAACTCTTTTGGACGGATCAAGGTGGGCAGCAGGCGCGAAGTTCGAAATTGTGTCTGTAAAAATGGCAAAAATTCCTGTCCCCTTAGGCAAAAATTTTAAATCGTGACAAAAATGGTAGAATAAGGTTTCTTTTCCGGCCTTATTATTGATCAGAGTTCGAGATTCATCGAATGCAAACAAACATTCAACTGATGTTTGTCGAGTCCTTTGCGTCACGTATTTCTCAACTTCTTTGATAAATTCGTCATCATTATTAGACTTTCTTATCAGCTCATGCTTGATTTTGGTCATTCTGGATTCAATATTTCTCTAGAAAGCATATTGCGAATATTCATCCGTATGTTCGTTAAACCACTCCTTGCAATTCCCACTGAATTCTCGTAACTTTTGAATGCATGCGCATAGGTATGCAAGGAAGGTGAACGAAGCATCTCGCTCATCTTCAAACTTACTTATTAAACTATTGGCAATGTGTGATCTGAATGGATAGCCGCTTGTGTTGGAGTCGCGCAAACAGCAATATATGATGAAGACGATTTCCGCGGTTTTCTGCAATAATTTGGATTTTCCTGTGTCGCTGGCTTGAGTCAAGGTTGCATATGGAGCATAATAATCATCTTTCGTTTCGTACTTATGTGAACACTTATTGATAAAACGCATAAACCTTTCCAAAAGGTCACTTGGATCTTTGAAAAGGAATACAATTCAAGGCTTTTTATATAATTTTTTGTTCATTCATACTATTCATTGATGAAATGTACAAAGAAATAAACAGACTTCAATAAAAGGTGCATCTCGAAGAATACACTTACTAAATCAATCACTTACTTAAACCTGTATCCGATATATTTGGCCGATCTAAAATAACAAGAAAATAGATGAATAAACGGGACAATACGGATAGAAGTTAGTCGATGACACAATTAGGATTTCAAACGTTCTCTTATATGAATCATTCTGATGAATGTGTAATAATACAAGGTGGAATGATAGGTAGCAAGGTGGAGAATTATAAGTTGCATGTTGTAACAACCTTTCATTCTCTAAATAAACGTGCATGGATTGTTTTCTTACTTTGTTGTGGTTGATATAACTTGATAATGTCTTCACTTGAGACTTCGGGGTTCAATAGTTTTTGTTGATAATAAAAAGTCGAGATCCATGTTACGAAAAATTATGAAAAAGCAAAAAAAAAAAAAAAACTAATCCTATAAAACGATCGCCGATCGGTCCGTCACGTGGTACAATGAAAAGAAATGATTCATAGAATTAAAGGTTAATACTG